CAACGAACAACCAGCAACAACATAACAACAGCAACAAACGCAACAACCAGCCAACAACGAACAGCCAGCCACATCAATCAAACAGAATCAACAAACAAACAACCAACAACAACAACAAACAACAGCAACAAAGAACCAAAACCAGCAACAAGCAACACAGCCCAACGCAAACAAACAGCAACACGAACAACCAGCAACAACAAACAACAGCAACAACGAACAAAGCAACAACTAACAACAGCCACAACAAACGAACAGAACAACAAAACAACAGCAACAAACGAAACAACAGCGAACAACGAACAAAACGAAACAACAGCAACAACAAACAACATCCACCAACGAACAACAGCAACAACAAAACAACACAAACGAACAAACAACAAACAACAAACAACAAACAACCATTAACAACAAACAACAACAACAACGAACAACAGCAACAACGAACAACAGCAAACAACGAACAGAAGCCAACAAGCAAACAACAGCAACAACAAACACATAACAAACAAACAACAACAACAAAAACAACAAGCAACAACGAACAACAGTAACAAACGCAACACCAGTAAATCAACGAACACAGCCAACAATCGCAACAACAGCCAACAACGAACAACCCAGTAACAACGAACAACAGCCAACAACGAACAAACAGCAACAACGAAAACAGCAACAACGAACAAACAGCAACAACGAACAAAACAGCAACAACGAACAGAGCAACAAACGACCAACAGCAACAACGAACAACAGTAACAACGAACACCAGTAACAACGAACACCAGCAACAACGAACAACAGCAACAACGAACAACAGTAACAACGAAACAAACAGCAACAACAAATCAACAGCCCAACAAAGAACAACCAGCAAACCACAAACAGCAGCAACAACAAACAGAATCAACACACAACAAATCAACAAACCAACAAACCTAACACCAACAAAGAACAACACGCACAACGAACAACCACAACAACGAACAACAGCAACAAACGACACAACAGCAACAACAAACCAACAGCACATACGAAACAGAAGCCCAACAACGAACAACAGCAACAACGAACCAACAGTAACAACAAACACACAACAACGACACAGCAACAACGAAACAACGAACAACAGCAAAACAGACGAACACAGCACACACGAACACAGCCAACAACAACAACAGCAACAAACAAACAACAACAACAACAACAAACAACAGTAACAACAAACACCAACAACAACGAACTAACAGCAACAACGAAACAACAGCAACAACGAACAGAAGCCAACAACAAACCAACAGCAACCAACAAACAACATCAACAACAAACAACACCACCCAACAACAAAACAACAGTAACAAACGCAACAACAGCAACAAACCAAACAACAGCCAACAACGCAACACCAGCCAACAACGAACAACAGCCCAACATACGAACAACTAGCAAACAAACGAAACACCGAGCAACAACGAACCCAACCAAGCAACAACCGAACCAAAGCACAACTTTCTTCTTCGCTCTCTCCTTTCTCATCCTCACTCTCGCTCTGTTTCGCTGAGCTACTCTTCTCTCTCTTTTCTCATCTAACTCTCCGCTCTTGTTTCTCTCTCTTCCCTTCTCTCTCGCTCTCTCGCTCCCACCCTCTCTCTCTCTCTCCCCTACTCTCTCATTCTCTCTACGGGCTTCTCTCTCTCCTCATTCCTCTCTCTTTTCTCTCTCTCTCCTCTTTCTCCCAACTCCTCCTCTTTTCCTCTCTCGCCTCTCATCCTCTCTCTCACTCTCTCTCTCCTCTCCCTCTTCTCTCTCTCTCGTTCCCCTTCTCTCTCTCTCTCTTCTCTCTCTCTCTCTCTACTCTCCTCTCTCTCGCTCTCTCTCTCTCTCTCCTTTCTCTCTCCTCTCTCTCTCTCTTTCTCTCTCTCTCCTCTCTCTCACTCTCTCTTTCTCTCTTTCTCTCTCTCTCTCTCTTTCTCTCTATCTCCCGTCCAGCGACAAATAGAGACACATCACACAAGTACAGAAACCAGATACAACAACAACAACAACAACAACAACAACAACAACAACACAAAAGCGTCGCTACCGACGTCCGTTTCCACCTACAGGCAGATCGAGACCGAGCGCCTCAAAATCCGCACTAAATCTCTCCACCAGACAGCGGTCACGCACTACGCGCTCGGCCGCAGATACCTCCGCCACCCCACCAACCCCGCCTCGCCGCCTCGCCGCCTCGCCGCTTTCGCATTTTACTTACATCGCCATTACGAAGATTACTCTCCCGTCGACAGTGAAAAACGTATATATGCACAGTAGACGGCTTCACCAATCGCGCGACTGCTTCTCCGGCTGATAAATATGCGAGCACTGAACGTCGGCCGGACGGTGGCTAAGCGTCTGGCACATCCGCCGCCTACCGGAATGCTCACTTACTCATTATAGGTGACGTAGACGAAGAAAACAGTGCGCGTGGGCTATGCGCGCGAGAGGTTTTTTCGATTGCGCGCTCTCTGTGTGCGTGCGTTAGAGCTACTGCTGGCTATGATCGGTAATAAGGGATAATGAATGCATTTATTCGGTGACGTAAAATGACGATAGAGCAGCGGGCTGATTATGTGTGAATATTGTAGAGCTGTTGCGCTGAACAGCGCTTCAAGTTGTTGAGGATTGTTGGGGGATGTATCTTATATATAATATATGAGTGCGAGTGACTGGTGGATTTATGAGTGCCCCGTGTGAGTGTAGGGCACATATTGGGATTATAATTCTCCGTCTGTCAGTACGCGTAGAATTGAGTTGACATCGTAAAAGCATGTCGTAAAAACGTGTGAGCATCAACAACAGATAAATATTTCACGATTAAAAAAACTTTTTACTATGGATAAATATTAAGACACTTGATACCAATAATGTTAACTTCTTGCTCTTATGTTCTTATATTCTTATGTTCTTAGTCTTATTCTTGTTCTTATGAATTCACGCACTGCATAACGCGTATAGAAGATAGCGGATAGACGGGTTGTGAGAGATGTAAGCACAAGGGGGAAGAAGAAGGGGAAAGAAGAAGGGGGAAGGGGGGTGAAAGAAGAAGGGAGTTGTAAACGTAGCATAAGGAAGGGTGTGGTATTTGTTGTGAATTGTTGTTTGAGTTCTATCGGCCGGTGTCTGGCTAGGAACGTGTTGGTGCTCTAGTCGGTCATATACACGCAGCGCCACCTGTGGTCAGATTTATCGCTACACGGCGGTGGCTGATGCACTGATTATATAAACTATAGATATAGGTCTTCTACTTCTTCTTCTTCTTCTTCTTCTTCTTCTTCTTCTTCTTCTTCTTATTATTATTATTATTGTCGGTGTTGTTAATTTGTTATATATGTATATAAATTAGAAATAAAAACACACGGGCACACATGTAGATGTATCGGTTGTTGTTGTACACCCTGAGGAAGAGACATATGTTATCGAAAGTTCGCAAAATAAATTGAGACCTTATTCTATTTTTATGTAATTCTCTCTCTCTCTCTCTCTCATCTATCTATCTCTATCCACCTCTCTTCCTATTTCTCTCTTTCTCTCTCTCTCTCTCTCTCTTTCTCTCTCTCTCTCGCTCTCTCACTTTCTTTCTCTCTCAAATCTCTCTCCGTCCCAGCGACAAAAGCGTCCAGAGACACGTCACAGTAGGTATGGTATAGTCAGAGCACCAAAGAACGTCTTAAATAAAATTCAGTCTCGGTCCCCCAAATTCTTGTTAAATAACTGCTTTTCCGCGACTATCCTATGATGTTAAGTACTGACTTGCTCGTGTAAGCGATGCATGGGGGGCCAGTGCAACTGCGTATTCACGTGGCCCCGAGCAAAGATCGCGGGTGGATGTACTGGATACAGAGATGAAAACTTCTGAGAAAAACCTTTGAGTATAACATAGACCGTCATGATGTAGGTCGTTTGAGAATCAAGGGACGCATCGGCCGGGCCCAGCCGCAGTGACTGTTAGAAGCAGTCTCTCTCTCATGCATCTCATCTCAATCTCTCTCTCTCGATATATTAAATATATTATATGTTACATTACGTGTGCTGTGTGTGTGTGTGTGTGTGTGCTGTGTGTGTGTGGTGTGTGTTGTGTGGTGTGTGTGTGTGTGTGTTTTTTTGGTGTGGTTTTGTGCGTGGTGTGTAGTATAATGTATGTGTATCCGCGCCTTTTACATCGGAATGCCCGCTGGCTACAGGCAGCGCAGCAGGCTACTAACCCCGGCCTCCGAGACCTTGGCATACATACGCAATGCCCTCCCTGGCATTTCACCTCTCACCAACACGTACATTGTAAGCAAGTCTCTTCTTTTGCAATGATGTCATCAAGCGTACGTTGACCCCCTATCTCTGCAAGAAAAGCAAGAACCGGATTGCGCCGTTGTCTGTGCTAATAGCGTATAGAGCGTGTCATTACTTGCCCGGCATTTCACCACTCGGAGCTAGCAAGTACAGGTGTGTATTCGTGTTTCTCTCTCGCAGGTATATATATGTATGTATATGCTTTGCTCGTCATGCGTACAGTATATGGGTGCTCTCACTTTCGATATCAACCGCTACGGAATTTCGCGAGGACGTTTCGTATTTAAGGAGTCACATTTTGCGTTCGGTGGCAGCTGGTGTCACCGTGGATCCGTCTACGTGTGTGCTTGTGTGTGTGTGTAGAGAGATCCGCACATAGTGTTTGCTGACTACTCGTGGCTTAGTCATACGCCCGTGCAAAGGTCATAGCAGACCTGACTATATCTATATAAAGAGTACATAATAGGAGATTATATAATATCTATATACATACAGTAACTGTTGTACGACCGACTCTAGTAGGCCTACACGTATAGTAGCGTCCGACTTTTGATTTCGATTAGTGTGTACCTTTGCGTAAAGGCGTGCAAACACCACAGTGCATGTGTACGTGTTTGTAATATGCTAGTTTAGCCGCCTCTCTGTCAATATTAATACGGTCATATACGCGTTATATTGCACGTGTGTGTTGTACTATTTCGTGCGTCTTATCATAACCAGATTCCTAAAAGAACACGCGGCTATAAACGATAGGTGGAGCATAGACCTAGAACATACTACTGCTACTACTAATGCTGTGCTGACGAATCGACACATGATATGCAGGCAGACGCAACGGCGTCAACAACTACCGGGGCGTCCCAAGAGAAGACCCTCGCTTCTGGGAAAACCCGAGATGCGATAGCGCGCAAAACCGCGACAGACGGTACCTTGGTGGCTTCTGGGAATGACCGAGATGCGATAGCGCGCGAGACTACAATAGACAGTGCGTCGGTGGCTTCTGGGAAGAACCGAGATGCGATAACGCAGGTGGCTGCTGCTGTTAGCGGGGTGTTCACCGCTGCTGCTTCAGACGTGTGCTATAGTGACATAGAGACGGTTGCGCGTGGCTGCGACACCGACAGTGGAAGTTATCCACGATCCCCACGTGTTACCGTCCGCGTTAGCGACGGTCGTCGACGGACGCGACGACAGCCGACGACGTTTGTGTCGTCGGCGGATAGTTGCGGTGATGCCGACGTGGTGGTGACGTGCCGCGAGAGCGATCTTTCATGCGGAGCAGTGTTTCGCCGGGATGCCACAGATGGCGCCACGAGCGATGATGATGTGCGTGCGATGACTAGTGTGGAAGTTGAAGAGGGAATAACCGACATTACTACTGCTACTGTTGCTGCTACTACTATTGTTGCTGCTACTACTACTACTACTGCTGCTACTACTGCTACTATTACTATTGCTGCTGCAGAGCGAGAGAGCGGGAACAAAGCGGGGTGCGACGTTAGCAGAAACAACTCAGGCTTCGCTGACTGCACGAGTTCTACAGAGACGAACGACCCAACGGATTCTCACGAACGCACCCGTGAACGCACAAGAACGGATCATACGGAACACATGCGTGAACCCACGACGAAAACAGATCTCATGGAACATACGTCGGATCCAGCGAGAACGTTTGCCCGAGAACACGCACAGGAACCCGACAGGATGACTCGCCGGAGATGCTCGAACTCGGATCACGGGAGAACGCAGCATCCCGCGGAAGATGCTAGCGATCTGGCGACGATCCGGGAAAATCCGTATCCGACATTACCGGCAGCGGCGGCCGACGAAGCGACGGCCGAGTGCGATCCGGGAACGATCCGGGAAAATCCAGATCCGACATTGTCGGCGGACGGAGCGACGGCCGAGTGCGATCTGGCGACGATCCGGGAATATCCGGATCCGACATTGTCGGCGGACGGAGCGACGTCGACAGAGCTGATCGCAATCGACGTCGGCAAGCTGACGGCAGAAGAGGAGAGCCACCGCAACCACGCCCTCTGTATCCGCGCCATAGCCACCTGGCTGCGTACAATCGGCAACGAAATCGACTCGATGGGAGTGACGTCACCGGCGTCGCCGCAATACGGCGTTCCTAATTGGTGGGATAAGCACGGGAAGGGAATGAGGTGATCGTGGAACCGGTGCGTAGCGGCTACGCCTATTGTATCAAACAATCGCTAAATAATTGAAAAACAATAACATAATATGTGCGTGTATATTATATATATACAGTATATGTATTTACAGTGATACGCACCAGCCACGCTACTATTTCTATTGTGACTATTAAGATTGTAGCTACGAGTACTGTATCAAAGAATCGCTAAAGAATTACAGGAAAATAATAAATGTGTGTA